GCGTGTGAAGCGGGAGGTATATTATGGTAGTCTATGATTTCTGCTGCTCAAATAATCAATCACCTCCTTCCATCAACAGGCTTAAACCTCCTCCAGAGGAACCTGATGTTATAAAACTACATCCTTCCTCTCCTCTATGCCTGCTAATGGAAACACGAACGTCTTCAGCTCAAAGGAAGCAGAGATCCAGCAGAGATTTTTAGGTGGCTGACCCAGGAGCACACTTGATCTTCACGAAGAATGTGCAGATTAACTTTAACCTTCATTTGAACAAAACACCTCCTTTAATAAATAAACAGCCTCTGGTTTCTCCCCCATCTCTCCCAATCACAGCAGCTCTGCATGCCAGTTCAGGGAGCAAGGTCCTGGAAGCATGAGGGAGTGCTGTGGTTTCCTGACCACTGGCTTTCTGGAATGCTCAACTTGACTGAATCTTGTTCATTTACGGGCCAGGAAACCCACCAGGGACTGGGGTGCTGAGACGAGCACAAGTTGGTGTGCTGACGGCACCTCTAACGCCAAAAGGAACGATACAAAACCGTTCTTTAAAGATTGTGATCTTTTGTACAGCTGAGTCAAAAGAGGGGAGACCATGAGCTTAAGATAGGAAGTGACACTATCTGTAAGACTGTAGAAGAAAAACAAAATGCAGCATCAAGGTCGTCTAGGTTTCCTCAGAACCTGCTTGGTAAGGAGACGAGGGGGGGGGGGGTGCAGGAATGAGTGAACAAAGTCTTTGAAACCTGCACTATAATTAACAGGAGTAGTGTATCTATGGCAGGTTGTCTGGACCTGCAGAAGTATGCCTCTGGTTCCGATAATGAAAGAGAAACCAGCTGCCTTCATCTGCGTCTTCTCGGTGTGTGTTAGTGGACGTCTGTGTCTGTCTGCTCCGCCACTTTTATTCGACTCAGGGTTAGGGTTAGGTCTGGTCTGGCGGTTAGAGCTGTCTCCTTTCTGGCCTGTCTTCTCTGTGAGGAGTGTGTGTATTGTTCCCAGTGCCGTAATGGTTCTAGACCATTAACGTGCGTATGTAGGGGAACTGGTGATGCCAGATTAACAGTAAGAACGTAAACTAGAAAGGTCTACTTCTGAATAGTGCAGGAAAATGAAGCAACCGAATAAGCAGAAGGCTCTGAGGTAACGACTACTAACATCTACCTCCACACTGACAACACGTGCTATACGACGCTCTGGGGTGGATACCAGCATGGACAGATGTAGTGGACATTGACTCAGAGCAGCCCCACTCGGCACATCAAAGTCAAAGTGATGGGAGGACTGGGTCAATGGAAGGCTGAAGGCAGAGTGCTTTTCTGCTCCAAGCAACTCCAGCTATGCTAAATGTAGCACGGCTGATCTAGTTCCAGGCTAGAGGCCTGCAGAGCTGAAGCGGGAGGCTGGGTGGAAACCTTGAGAGGAACAGGATGTAAAAGTGAGAATAAATACGCGAGGGTCATCAGGGAAAGCTGAAGAGTGGTGAGGGCCGGCGTGATCTGGGTTCTCTTACCTGCAAAACATTGAAGATTCTGGGGGAAAGATGGAGTCGTACACGTGTGACTACACGATTCATTTATTAACATTTCCTTTTCTTCTGCTTGTTAGATAATGGGTCCTGGAGACAACGGGTCCAGGTGGAAACCTCTCCAGCTCCTCCTGGTGATCCTGTACCAGAACATCAACTAACTCTTCTGATGTGGAAGAGCAGTGGCTGATTTCCATATATGGAATGATGAGCCCTGGGGTTTCCCACGACTACACATTTAGATCCTGTCCCTGAACCACACTAACACAAGCAGACAAGGGACAGCCCTAGCAGTCCACCCTGGACCAGGAACCCGCTTGATTCAGAGCTACAAAGTGACCATTGGGCCTCCTCACAGAATGACGTGGGGGACAGGGTCATAAGTCTCCGACAGATCCAAAAACCAGATGTGACCTAAACCAAACTCCTCTTAGGATCTCTGCAAGAGTGGAGATCTGCTCTGCTGTTCCACAAGCGCTGACCTGCGGACTATTAAATGGTGTACCTTTTTAGAAGGTTATAAATAAAAGCAAAAATAAAGCTGCTTTGTTTTTCCATGCAGTTTTATGGGATGTTTGTGTTTCATTACCAGCAAGTCTTTTCATAGGTTAGATGTGACAGCTTGCAAAATGACTGGAGTGTGGAGTGAGGAAGACTCTGATCACGCTGAGCACTAAGAGTCTGACAGCACACTGGAGCGATTCACGGGCTCGTCTGCTGCTGTTTCACTCTGGGAGACGACAGTTTTCCTCTAAACAGGAATGTTTAGGAGCTGCCAGCCATGTGCTCTTGGACCAGAAAAGCCAGAAGGCCACAAGTTTTACAGACCTACTTCCAAACTGAGACTGTGTAACCTAAAACCCAGCTGAGTCCTCTAACGCGGGGCGGCACCGCCGGGTCCGGTCTGTCTGGAGAGCTCTGATGGTCGTCCAGAGCAGACACTGATGGGGTGTCACCAGAGAGCTGTCCAAACACGAGCTGAGGGATATATGCCAGGTGCCTGGTGTGTGTGTGTGTGTGTGTGTGTGTGTGTGTGTGTGTGTGTGCGTGCGTGTGTGCGTGTGTGTGTGTGTGTGCGTGCGTGAGTGCGTGTGTGAGTAGTGTGTGTGTGTGCGTGTGTGTGAGTGCGTGCGTGCGTGCGTGCGCGTGTGTGTGTGTGTGTGTGTGCGTGCGTGAGTGCGTGCGTGCGTGTGTGTGTGTGTATATGTGTGTGTGTGTGTGTGTGTGTGTGTGTGTGTGTGTGTGTGTGTGTGTGTGTGTGTGTGCGTGTGTGTGAGTGCGTGCGTGCGTGCGTGCGTGCGTGCGCGTGTGTGTGTGTGTGTGTGTGTGTGTGTGTGTGTGCGTGTGTGTGAAAATGCATCTTTCATTCCTCTCAGCTGCTCTGACTCAGCTTTTGGGTTGCTGGTGTTTCTGAGTGACAGAAGAAAAGTTGGACCTGAGAGATGAACAGACGTGACAAATTCATTTAACCCACATTAGTCAGCAGCATCTCAGTGGGGATTTAAAAAAACATGCCTGCATGCAGATTTCAGTGCAGAGGGCATGGCTATATTAAGCATCAATTCAAAGGGATGCACTCACAGACCTACTCTGTTTCAGCGGGTTATTCGTGGGACAGCAGCTGGTAACATCTGCCTTGGCAATATTTAGTGAAGTGAAACAAATCTGTAGTGTGTGTAGCGCCCTGCGGACAAGTCAAAGCCACGTCGTGAGGGCCGACCCCCACCTATGGGGTCCCAATGGAGCGCTCCATTTTACACCAATTGTCATTTAGATGAGGGTGGGTGTGTGTGTTGTTGACGGCATTGCATGACATCAATAATATAAAAAAGTACAATTAAGGGCAATTAGGCTTTCAGAAGCAAAATGGGTTAATGAAAATATCTACACGCAACATATCACCACATCCAGAGTTATCATTTAGAGATGCGAAGCTAAACCAGTCATCATTCCTTCTTGGATAATCTAGAGGAGAGAGAGAGACAGAGGATGCACGGAGAGTGTCACTTCTAAAATCATCCCATCACCAACGGCTGTCCTGATCCAATCTCAAGAATCAGATAGTAATCTTGATGAAAGCAGCTTTCATAGATTGGTGTCAGAATAACTAACCCATCTCATCTCAGCACATCTGAAACTACCTTTAAAGTCACAAAGGGATCATTTATTTTATTTGTGTTGCACAGTTGCATATGCAGAGAGCCGGCACTGCTCCGGTTTATGGGGTGACTCTGACCAGTGTTTGCACCTCAACAATATGGTTCATATAGTTGTTATGATGACACAAAGCTACCTGCAAAGTACCCAAATGAGTCAGCCTGAGGAAGTTTGCAGCCGCAAGCGAAACGTAGCAGAAAACAGGTAAACAGAACTGCTCTGTGTTTTAAAAAAGCACTACAGCATGGAATCAGAGAAACGACACAGCAGGAACACACCTGAGATACCCAAACGAGTGTTTGCATCAGTCTGCAAGTCTGTTCTGTAAAATAAAGCAAAATAATGGAAGGATAAGGTGGAGACTTGTGTACTCAGATTTGGTATCGAAGACAAAAAACTCAATCAGGGCAACAGTCCTTACATCGGGAAGCGATCCAATTCAGAAATCACACGTCATTTAGGGCCAAACAGAACCATGTTTTGTCCTTCAAATTCAAAATCTCTGCAAATAACCACAACGATAACAAAACAAGGACCACGAGCATTCAGTGATGATGTCTACAGGCGCTAAGGGTTGGTTTAAGGGGGGGTCCTTTGTGGTGGGCAGCAAGCCAAACCACACATGAATACCTGAAGGCTAAATGACCCATTCACAGACCGCAGGATGTAGGGTCCGAGGAGCAGGTAAGGGCCTGCTGAACCGGGACCTGAAGGGGCTTTTAACCCACCAGGCTATGTCCAGAGGGGATGGACAGGTTCACACACACACACACACACACACACACACACACACACACACACACACACACACACACACACACACACAAAGTAGGGGGTGTTACATGGCCGCTTGTTGCGCTATCAGAGGAAGAACCCAACCTTTAAGCCAAAAGCTCGAGAGGCAGAACTCTTTCACAACATGAGAATAAACATTTGGGCTAATTTACAGGCAGGAAACACCTCACGGCTTTCGCAAGCACCAATGTGCGTCATAACCACAACACGTGCTGGAACGGTCCTAATGATGGAGAGGCTGGAGAACGTTCTCAGCTCTCATAACCGAATAATAACGCTATTAGGAACGCCACACCTATCTTTTAATTATATAAAATAAATTAAAATACTAAAATTAACTTGAAATGTTGAAATTAATCTTATTTACCAAAGTTAATATGTAGCCCATTAAAAAACAGAAGACTACGTCATTAAATGAAATTATACTTTAGTTTTAAAGTGGTGGGACTCCTCGCGCCGCTCACGCGCGCCCAGCTCCAGCATGGAGCCATGGAGCCAAGGTAAACCAGAGCCCGGTACTTACGCACTGCCTCCCGTTTGGGGTCCAGGTCGGAGCAGGTCTGCTGGAGGAGGCTGATTCTGCCCTGCAGACGCCGGACCCGCTGGTTGGTGGACGTCAGCTCGTCCTCCAGCTCCTGGAACATGGAGCAGGCATGTTTGGCCAGGTCCGAGAGCTGGCGCAGGGTCCGGGACAGAGCCACGTTACTGATGGAGACCAGATCCTCGAAAACCAGACCCTCCTCATTTGGGACTTGATACCTGCACAGTAACTGTGGCTCCACGACTCTTTTGGCAAATGGCATGTTGTTGCAGACCGGGGGGAATAAAATCCGGCAAAAGTCACCAAGAGTGATGAGAACGCTGCTGTCCCCCCTCCAGCTCTAGTTCAGCTGCTGCTGCTGGCGCCCCCCATCCTTTCGCTTGGGAGAGGACTGTTGTGCTCCTCGCTGCTGCTACTGGGCCATCTGCTGCCCCGGCGCTGGTGCGTCTGCTCCAAACTGGAGGAGGTTTTTAAAAAAAGACCGCGGGAAGACCTGGACTGGAGTCCCGGAGCCTTATGGATCAGGCCTCCCGTTCTTCAGAAACGAGCCTGGAGGTTCTGCTGCCACTCTTGGAGGGTAAAATAAAACAAAATAAACACGTTAGAACTTTTTTTATTACAGCAAAAGAAGAAGAAAACACAAACAGTCTAATGAAAGTCCTCACAAGTAGATCTTGAGTGGTTTAATGAAGGCGTGGCACAACATTCCAGCAGCATCAGTTACTTTTGAATCAGGAATGTATTTACTTATTTTTAATGGTTTTTTATTCTGTATAATTAAAACACAAATGTATATTTCTGCAAACTTGTATTCGTGAAGGCAGTAAGCATGTATTGTCATGGGCTTCATAATGATTGAGCTAATGTGGAGTTAGCATTATAAACAAAACCCAAAGTGTTAAAGATGCAACTTTAACAGTTTTCTGGTAATACTTAAATGTGTGGTTTACTCATTTATTCAATACATTTGCAGTGTTCTCTAGTGTAAAACGGTGATGCTTCTGTTTTGAGATGCAGAACTTTGCTGGTGCAGCGGTGGGCTGAAAACAGCAGGATTACTCATTATTATTAATTATATGCACACACCTTGCTTCTGATTGGCTCACAGAATGCGTTCAGCCTTGTTACAAAGTCGCTCAGACACTCTTCGCTCTTTCTCCTCGCTGCATAAATAAGCTTCCTTGTGAGCAGGCAAGCCAAGATGGGCGGGGCAATGAATGCAAATTCACAGTGTGACATAGATAAGTGAGGATTTTCCAACCCTAGCATTTCACCGACTATTATAGATAGATAGATATTTTTATTCGGTCGGTTATATCAGAAGCTAACACAGGAGATAGGTCTAGGAGACTATATTTATGTTCAGCGTGCATAAAAAACTCAGAGTGAACAATTACAATCAGAAATAACAACAAAAAACGGTAAAACACTTTGATGTGTTAAGTAGTTTTTAATGAACCCAATATTGAAAAACATCTTTTTATTTGAAATGTAATTGTAAATAACCAGAGAATGCATGTAAATAGTCGTGTAATGTGAAAATCGTGCTGTTCTAAGGTTCATATGTTCTCGTAGGTGCTTGGAATCCTTGAAATTTCTTTTATTCTAATGTGGTATTTCCAAAGCTTGGAATGTGCTTTAATTATGAATTAAATACTTGATACCAACATTGGTCAAAGGACATTTTCTTTTTGAGACAATTAAGGGAATATTTTGAGCATACCTTCTTGTATTTGTAAACCAGTGAAAATTCACATTGAGAGTGCCTGAAATGGACTTTTTTTAAAGGTGTTGTTTTTGTCACATCCTGTCCTGTCTCCCCGTTTGGTTCAGCCTTGTGTCTCGTTAATTACTCCCACCTGCCTCTCGTTCTTCCAATCACCTTAGCGCCCAGCCCTCCTGCATTTAAACCCCGACTGTTCTGTGTCCTGTGCCGTTTCATTGTTCCAGTGTCAGCGTGCTTAATAAACCTGTTAATCCTTCCTACTTGCCTGCCTGTTTGTCTCACCTGCGTTGGATCCTCACCTTGTCTCTGCTTCGTCCACATCGGTTTTTGTAAAAGGGAGTTGGTGTTTGTGTTACCACTCATGATTCATCTGCTCATTTCAAGCTCTTGTAGCTTCTAAATAACTAGCACACACAGCCGTCCAAAACCATTTAAAAAGCTTTAAGTAGACATTAAAGCAGTTTTTTTCTTCTAGTAATCATAAAAATGTGATAATTCTACATACCTGAACACAGAGTTGGGGTCCAAACTGAGCTGGCTGCCACTGGTTGTTATGTTTCTGGAACTAGAATAAAATCATATCTACCCAACTGGATGTATGAAAGTATCCATAGATCTTTGTTTTGTGGAGATGAATCGTTTTCCTGTCAGATTATCAAGGTGTGTGATCCCTGCTGAAATAACCAAAGTGTGGCAGATGGCTGGAGAAATCCCTGAACGTGTGGAAACTATTTTTAATGTGATAACAGGATCTGTTTCCTGGTTAGCAGTAAACCACAGAAATGACTTTCAAGTGCTTCTACTTTGCTGGCATGGGACCAGAATACATGTCAGATCTCCTCCAGGTGTCTACACCCAGCAGCTCTGAGAGCCTTAGGAAACGGTCAGCTGGTAGAACCTCGGGTCAGAACCAAACATGATGAAGCTGCTTTTAGCTACGATGCTGCACACAGATGGCATCAGCTTCCTCATGACCTCAAATTTTCCCCATCTCTAGTAACGTTTAAATCACAACTAAACACTTTTATGTATTCATCAACCTTTGAATGAATGCTTCTCATGCTGCACCTTCTGCACTGTCGCTGCTCAGCCTCTAACTCAGTCCTTCTAAAAATTCTCAAATCTGAAATGAATGTGTGTTTTTTAATTGTGCTGCCATGTTTATTTGAATGTTATTGCACCTCTGTGTATGCAACGTGCTTTATAAATAAAGCTGGCTTGCCTTCAAGGATTCGGGTAAAGAGCGGCGCAGGGACGCACCAAGAGGATTTCCCAGCTAAGCACAGATGAGAAGTCAGTATTTGCCTGAATGCACATGACGGATCGTGGAGACGTAAAAAGTTTGAAATTAAACTTTTGCTGCAGACTTTAAGTGAAGGGAACCAGACACTTATCACCTCATTAAGACCTGCCTACAGTCGTGTGTTGAAGCTAGGTGAAGTGATTCCTTTAAGAGAGACCAAGCCTATGATTCCTGCAGTCATGCAGTTTTGCCGTTTGTATGTTTTAGTGACTTCTGGGATGGTGTGGATGTCCACACGTTTACCAAAGGCCTCTCTTTAACTCCATTATATCACTGTGTGGGTTCGTTCTTGCTTTCTTCTCTAGACCTGACAGTCTGGTCAGAGCTTCATTCACATTTGCTGAATGAGTGTTTAGCTAAATCCCAGCAGCTGACGGGGCCAGAATGGACAGAGGTGACAGCCTGGGAGCTCATCCTGCGGCCTAACGAATGTCCACACCAGAAGTGCAACCCTAGCAAAGCGTGGCTGGGGACAAAGGAGGAATGAGAGCGGTGGCGTGTGGCGTCATCTCTGAGTAATGCTGCCACAACAAAGGGACTAACCTGACCAGATAAAAGCTGGCGATCTTTGTTGTGGACAGGGTCGAATTCATCCTTGGGCCACCAAGAGAGACACAGATAATTATTTTTACCGTGATGAAAAGTGGATAAATTCACTTAATGTGGCTTGGAGACCTACACTGGTGGATGTGTGTGAGAGCACCAAACATGACCGTCTCCAGCTCCATGCATCATTAATAGTAAGAACCAGACACATGATCATAAGTCAGTGGCAGACTGAGAGGGAGACAGCTGGGTGGCAGTTATAATAAGGAGGCGTATACTTAGAGACAACACACAAGTGCCATGTGCTGGTTTCCTCGTGCAGCGCAGCTGTCATGCTGCCATGCAAACTAAACACTTTTAAATGGTATTTATAGTTCAGTGAGAATAACCCCCCTGCCCCAGTTAAGCTGCCTGATTTCATGAATGCACTTGCCCCTCTCCTGATGTATAACACAGCAGACCTACAGACTGGGAGGAGACGCTGCAGAGACCTAGCAGGTAAATACCGGTTAGAGGTTCCTCCCCCTGTCTGGGACCTGGTGTTTGTTTTCCAGACTCATTTATTCTCTCCCCCCATTCTCAGTTACAAATGTCCGTCTCTCCATTCACAGCAGCCCTCAGCAGGCTCATGAGGATTACTTTCACTTCATGTTCTGTTGAGAAAAATGTCCCCATTAGTTTGGCTCGGCTTGGTCCCTCCACAGCGCATCTGCTGCAGACAAAAGCCCTTTGGAGTTGTTGGTAAGTTAGATTTGGTTTGAGCCAAATGTGGATGTCATCATGACTATTTCACTACGACACATAGAACGTATTCAGATCGGAAAATAAAAAGGTTTCTGACGATTTACCACAGCACTGTTCAGGAAGACCCCATTAAAGCTAACTTTCAAACTTCTGGACCGGGCTTTAGGGTTTTACTTTAAAATCACATGAATATAAACTAAAAGAGATCCTGATACGTTACTTTTAGTCCATGAAAATCTGTTTTCTGGTCATTTTAGTTCAGTGCAACTGTTACTTGTTTTAACATGAAGACATTTACCCAGCAGGTAAAACATTTTAGCTGATCATGTTAGCTGCAGTGGCCATCTTAAATCAGCTACCCTGGTTCATCAGCTGTTGATCACTTCCTGAGCGTTTGGTAAATGATCCGGTGTTCCATCAGACAGGGCTGGAGGCAGTGATCTGAACAGAACAGGTGATAAGTCGGGGATCGTAGGTGTCTCTCAGCTTAAAGGAAGACACATTTCAGCTCATTAGGTGTGCATCTCAGTGAGTTGCAGCCATGTTTAGTTCCTCCGGTGTTCGTGAGATGGTTTACAGACACAGGCAACATCATCACTCGCCTCCACGTCGTTGTGGCAAGAAACAAACGAGGCTAACTACACAAAACTGTTTAGCAGTCAGAATCTCACTTAATTGGGACAACAATAGCTCAGGAGGCAGAGCTGGTTGTCCAGTAATCAGAAGGTTGCAGGTTTGATTCCGTCTCCCACCAGAGAATTCTGCTGTTGTGTCCTTGGGCAAGACCTCCTTGCCTGCTGGCGGTGGTCAGAGGGAACGGTGGTGCCGGTGCTCGGCAGGCTCGCCTCTGTCAGTGCGCCCCGGGCGGCTTTCGTAGCTCATCCCCAGCAGGGTTGTGTTGGGAAGCACCTTGGGGGTTGTAGAACCTGTACAAGGTGTGTGTGCTATACAAATACGGGCCATTTACCATTAATTAAGCCTCACAGGCTAATGATGTCAACTACTTCTGAACCAACCGGCATGTTGGAGCAACCAGTGAAGGGTCCATCATCAGATGTGGATGACGCAGCTTTGAAGAAGAAAAACACCCATTTATTTGATTTTATACAACAGAAGTGTTGATTTGTTTAGTGTGTGAAGCGTTCTAGCCAAGTATGTCAGCGGATCGGTTTGGTCATCAGCAGCAGAGGTCTGGGACCC